TTTGTTCCCATGTGTACCACACAAAAAAGACTGTTTCTGTAACATCTTCCATCACGTGTCAATGCCAGACTTTTGTTTTGTAGCATTGCCAAAGGCCAGAAGTGCTGCCTTTCCTCTCCCTCTGGCCTGATAAGGGGAGCGTCAGAGAGAGAGATGGGGAGAGGTCGGACTAGGCCCAACACAAAGGGTAGAATAGGCCAGAACTTTATGCAAGGTGGGATAAACAGGAAGTTTTAACAGAAGCATCAGGGGGCTGTGTCAGTAAGTATCTTCTCATGTATTAGAGATGAAAAATGCTAAGAAAGTGGGATGTGTTTTCTTATGGGTTAGAAACTCAAGAGTCCTGAGTTAGACTGCTGGCTCCTTGGCTGTGTAGCCATTTCCTAACATCTCAGTACCTATGTTTCTCACCAGTAAATTGGAGCAGGGAGTAGTAATCTCTGCTACATAGGATTGGCATGAAGAGAAAGTAAGGAGAGCATTTAGGGTATGTAGGAAGCCCTCAGTCTGTGCTGGCGATGGGGCTGCTATTCCTGCAGGTGCTGAGAAGCAACTGGGCTGTGTCCATCAGCCTCAGCCACTCACCTACCATCAGTGCCAGCCAGAGCAACTCTCCTGACTTCTCTAGGCCTGATCCACTTCCGCCTCTCTCAAATAAGGGATTTGCTATACACGAGTTCTTTCCAGAAGGAAATTTTATGTTTTTAAGTTGAAACTGTATGTCTCCTAAAAAACAAACTGAGAATAAAAAGAACTTTAAAAATTAAAGATTCTATTTAGAAAAATTAATGCTAAAAAGATATACTTACTGGCTTCAGGAAAATGTTGATTAAAATGACATTGTTGCTTTCCTGCTGGAAATTGATGGATGGCCATTCTCCAACCAGCACTAGAGGCCATTCTGAGGAAGGCAGAGGATATCTGCCGAACACAGATTCTTTCCTGTCTGGTATTCTGAAAGTAACATTTGTATAAATGAACTGTGATACAATTATTGCACTGGAGAAATTTTTTAAAAATCTGTTTTATTGAGGTGCAATTTATGTACAATAAAACATACTCATTTAGCGTACAGTTGGATGAGTTTTGACAAATGTGTAATAACTACTGCCTTATAGATTTTTAAAAACAGGTTTATTGAGATATAATTCACATACCCATATATGTGACAAGATTTACCCATATAAAGTGCATAATTCAGTGGTTTTTAGTATAATCAGAGTTGTGTGGCCATCACCACAATCTAATTTTAGATCATTTCATTACCTCACAAAGAAACCCCATACCAATTAGCAGTCACTCCCTAGTTCTGTCCCCATCCCCATCCCCACTTCTAACTCTAAGCAACTATTAATATACTTTCTGTCCTTATGAATTTGCCTATTTTGGACATACCGTGTAAACGGAGCTATACAATATGTGGTATTTTGTGACTGGCTTCTTAGCAAAATGTTTTCCAAGTTCGACCATGTTGTAACCTTTGTCAGTACTTCATTTCTTTCTGTGATTACATAATATCCCCTGGTGTGGACATGACACCTTTTGTTCCTTTTGTTCCGTGACACCTTTGTATCTGTTCATTAGTTGATAGACACTGGGACTGTTCCCACTTCTGGACTGCTGTTATTAATGCTACTACGAATGTTTGTGAAAAGTTTTCGTGGATACCTATATGTTATTTCATTTCTCTTGGGTATCTATTGCCAAGTTCATATGGTGACTCTGTGTTTAACTTTTTGAATTGCTAGTCTATTTTCAAAGTGACTGTAGCCTTTTATACTCCCACAAGCAGTGTGTGTTGGTTTCAATTTCTCCACATCCTGCCAGCGTTTACTGTTATCTGTTATCTGAATTATGCACTTTACATGGGTGAATCTTATCACATATATGGGTGTATGAATTATATCTCATATTGTAAAAATCAGTCCATAATTAGTAAAGACCTGCATTATGCATCCTACTTTTCACTCCCTTTACGTCTCCTTGCCATTTAGTAGTGTGAAGTTGTGTCTCAGTTTTGGTTTTAATTTGCATTTTTCGATGACTATTGATATTGGGCATCTTTTCGTGTACTTTTTATGTTTGTTATTTAGAGAAATGTCTCTTGAAATCTTGTGCCCATATTAATTTGTCTGTTGTCTTTTTGTTGAATTGGAAGTGTTAATATATTTTCTGATCAGATACATGGTTTGAAAGTATTTTCTCCATTCTGTTGATTATCTCTTCACTTTTTTTTTTTTTTTT